CAATGCAACACACGGCACACGTGTTAACTTAATATTAAAGTGAAAAAAGTAATATATATATATATATATACTTCTTCTTCTTTTTTTCTTGTTTTTTTTTTTGTTTTTGATTGAAAAAAAATTTTTAAGAGCACTTCACTTCCTGGAAAATTATTTATCAGTTTTTATTTTTTTCATTCGCACCGATAACAGCTTTCACCGTCTACTTTTTATCTCGTCCTTCCTCTTTTCGATTTTATTTATCACGATTAACGGGAAAATTATTACGGTAAAAATTCTTCTATCGTGTAAATGTGTTTTATTTAATAATAAAATATAAATAAAATTAAATTCGAAGAACTTTTGTATCGAAGGAAGCGGTTTAACTATTAAGTGTTTTGAAGATCGCGAGGTACGCAACCAGCGGTGGATGCGACACGACTGTGCAGATCGTAGAAACAGAGACGAAGAAATATCGGCCACGAGTTTACCTGAAATAGGGATGCAGGACTATTCTCGTGGAAAGGGTGCAAGAGGCATCTACCACCCTTCATAGTTCGCTCCACGAACTTATTGATCCGTTCTCCTCGGCCGCTAACATCGAGTCACGATTGTACCTTCATACAGTAAACTTCTTTCACAGTTAAATTACCAACTAGTAATATTGAAGAACGAAGAAATCGTAGATTTAGTTTGGATAGATCGATTAATTTAACTGTACCTTCGGTGCAGTAATTTTTTCATTCACTGATTTATCAACTAGCAATAGTGGGGAGTAAAGTATAAATTGTAGATTTAGTAGATTAATAGTAAAGTTTGATATCGATTAAATAGTAATTTACCAACTTTCAATGTCGTAGAACAAAGTATAAATTGTGTAGATTTAATGCTTGATATTAAAGTAATTTTATTAAATTTGATAAATAAACAATTATTGGAACATAATTTATTGATTATACCTTGTATGATATTTTAATTTTATAATTTTAATAATAATATTTTAACTTTAGTTTTACAATTCTATAATTTTAAGTCAAAAGATAATCAGATTTAAATAAAAATTGGAAATTTATTTATAATTTCCTACTACCTTATGCTTAAATGTACTTATATTATAATTATCGATAACATAATTGATATATGATCTAAAAACTTTTTACTTTTTATAATAAATAAGTGTTATACTGTAATAAATTAAATAAAATATATGAAATAATCAAAATCTATTTCATAATCACTTAAATTAAGTTTAGAAATTATATTAATTTTCCAAGATAAATTACAATTTCTTTTACAATAATTAATTATGATATAATTTAAAAATTTTAGCATTATTAAATCCAGAAATATTAAAGAATTTAAAAATTATATACCTACTGTCCTTCTATACCAGAATTTCGTGCTAGTTTCATAGAAGCACTAGCAGTTTCATAGCAACGATCGATCAGTTGTTAAACATGCCTAAAATAGTTTAGTTAATTAGACAAGTTGTCCTCACACGATGTGTCATCAACACCCATTGCACGATAATTAAACAAGATGTAAGTGGCTGTTTGTAAAAAAACACCTTTATTCAGAACAACGAAGTCTGTTTTTTTTTTCTTTAATTATGAAAAGGAAAAAAGTATAAAAATAAACAATGACTCAAATAATATTACTGCAAGCTGCAAGAAAAATATATTTATTAAAAGAACAAAAAGAAACAAAGTAAATTATAACTTTTATTCATGAATTCACATTTTCATAATATTGCAACATAACTTAAAATAAATGTCAATTGATACCATAGTGAGCAGAGATTATTATAGAAGAAAGCATAAATTAATTATATTAAAAATTACTTCAAAAATCTGTAAAAATACATTCAACATTCTAATATCTGGTAACTTTATCTAGAATAGCCTGAGTCAAATATCTCCCAGCAAGATCTTTGGCTATATTGCCCAACTGATCTGTAAATTTAGGCTTCTTGGTAGTAGAAGGAGGAGAATAACCCCCTTGATATCCTTGCTGATACCCCCCTGGATATCCTTGTTGATACCCCCCAGGATACCCCTGTTGGTAACCTTGATTATACCCAGGATAATAGTTACCATATGGATTAGACTGTGAAGGATATCCACCATACTGCGATGGATAATTGCCAGTTTGACCAGGATATCCACCGCTCTGACTCGGATAACCACCTTGGCCGGGATATCCAGAGCTCTGACTTGGATAACTGCCACCTTGGCTAGGATACCCAGAGCTCTGACTCGGATATCCTGAACTACTTCTACCAGCTTGACTGGGATAAGCAGCATTCACAGAGTTTGCATCCACCCTCTTCACACTTTGCTCGTCAACGGAGCTCGATGAGGGATATCCCCTTGAGCCTGATGAAGGATACGAGCCACTGGGATAACCAGAACTACCACGAGATGGGTAACCAGATCCTGCTGGGTAGCCAGAGCTTCTCGAAGGGTATCCAGACTCTGATGGGTAACCGGACGAGCTTCTCGAAGGGTATCCAGACTCTGATGGGTAACCGGACGAGCTTCTCGAAGGATATCCAGACTCTGATGGGTAACCGGACGAGCTTCTCGATGGATATCCAGCCTCAGAAGGATAGCCAGAGCTTCTCGACGGATAACTTCCCGATTCTGAAGGATATCCGGACGATCTGGATGGATAACCGGATGAGCCGCTAGAGGGATAACCAGAGTTCGATGGGTAACCGGAACTGGATGGGTAACCGGATGATTTGACCGAGGTGTCAGCTTTTGGTCGAGTTTCGGAGGATGGATATCCGGAGGATGGGTATCTAAAATCCGTGGTCTTAATCGATTGCGTGTCATCCGGTGTGGAATCCACCTCACTGCCGGTCTCTCGTTTTCTCAGTAAGCTGTTGCTGTTTCCATCGAACTCTGCGAACAATTCGTCATCTGCCTCCTAATTGTTTAGAAATATCGATTTTCGTTCCATGCCATGCCTAATGTCCAATAATGTTTCCTGCGTTGCTCAATCAAGCTGACGCTGTATTATTATTGCTCAATTATACTGTTCCAATTAGTGTGTTATTAAGCTAATTGTAATACACATAATGTAAATGTATTTTGTAATATTATAATGGCCGACATTGTTCGCGCGATAGGTTTATTTCTTATTGCTTTGTCCGTTTGTGTTATATGTAGTACCGAAGCTAAGCTATGCATTCAATCATGCAATTTCATTGTGTTTTTTATTTCCATTTGTTAAAAGTTGATGTTAAAGTATACGATTACGGATGTGCTGTGTGTGTAATAAATGATGTGTGCGTGGAAATTTTTGTGATTTCGTGTTCGTATTGTTAAGTTTTATTCGTTGTAATTCTTGTGATGGAACTAATATTTGTGGAAATTAAGAAAAATCGAAAAAAATAAAGAATTGGATTATATCTTTTAATATATTTGTTCGTTACATAGAAAAATATTTTATATCGTATTATTTGACGAATTTAAACAGAAAATTTCCAAATTTTGTTCCATTGATCATTTATCGTTATAAACTGGATATGTACAGTTCTTAGATTGTAATTTTGTAATAAAAAAGATAAAATAGGAAAAGTATAGAAAAATATATACAAAACGATAAAATGATAAACTGGAATTGTGATTTACAAAATATAACTCTGTATCGCTTGTTGAAGTAGATAAAAAGTGTCAGAGTTCAATGATCATAAATGAGATCAGTCGGTGTTTCCTATATCTTTTGGCTAATGTTTTCCATCTCGTATTATTAAACATAGGCAATAATATTTAAGTCTGAATTTCAATAGTTGTTCAAAAATAAACGGAGATATCCTTGTGGATATCTTACCAGACTGTGCAGATTGTCCAGAATTCTTATTTCAATCACTGCTTCTCATTAACTCAAATATCATCATTCATATTATTAGAATCCACTGTTTCAACACTTTCTTTATTAGTGTAGAATCAGAGCTCGATGGGTAGAATTCATCAAAATCTGATGAATAATCACTTCAAAACGATAAACACTTCAGATCCAGAAAAATAGTCAGATATGATCTTTTAACTTCTGATGATAACTTTCCGATGATTCAGAATTTTTTTCCAAATGAGTGTTGAGGATCCTTGGTCTCACGAGATTTAATATTTTTAAACTCTTCTTTTTCTTCAATAAATTGTTATCTCCAACGAATTCTGCGAGTAATTCGTTGATCTATCTTGTAATTGTTCAGAAATATTCGTTCTCATGCCAAGTCCAATTCAATTGTTATCGTTTCCGTATTGCTCAATCAAACTGACATAGTTCATAAGTATAATATATATATTGCTAATACATATTATATTCTTGGACATTTATAGTCTTCTAATTAAGTTGTATCTTACAACGTAAATGAATTTTGTAATAATATGAAGGTCGATCTTTATTTCTGTGATAAGATTATTTTTGTTGTTTTCTTAATAGCATTGAAGTTATGTAATCACATTTTTGTTTGTTAAAAATGATGTTAAAGTATATATTTATAATTATATATAGATATATATAGATATAATACAAATAATTCATACTGATAAATACATGATACTTTTCTAAACATATGAAGGAAATATCTATTGAAATTGGGAAAATCCAAAGAAATGCTGAAGAATTCCATATATTATATTTTTTAATACATTTGTTCATTATATAGGAAAATATTTAAACTGCTCATTAAGTACTATAAGTTTAATACATCTATATGATAATAGTGTTATATAAATGTATCTCATAATTGTATCATAGCACTATAAAGAACCACAGTTATTCATAAAACAATGAAATATTTGTCAAATTTCATGATAAATACAAGTATAAAAATAAATCAGTACATGAAAGAATATCATTAAATGGAAGATTGATTTTTTACACGCTTTTCTTAACAATGTTTTACAATAACTGCAGTTTCTAGTTTTAAAAAAAGTTAATTTTGGTCCTAAAATTAGAGTTATATATAAAATAATAAGTAAATTATAAATCGAAAGGCTGATAACAAAAACCATCTTCGTCAATCTTTGTCCCTCTAATTTCTATTCTAAGTCATAGAAAGATTTAATTTTGCGATCGATCAATCCCACAAAAATAAATAACTATTGACTCTTGAAAAATTAAGGATATTCACCAAAAATTCACAATTCAGAAATTTATGAAAAATAAAATTGATGAGATGTGACTTCAATTATCATTCCAAAAGAACTAATAAATTTATTCAAAATTGTTGATCATTGCAATTTGACAAAGATCATTTGTGTCATCAACTAACTTAACTAACAAATGAATTTAACCAGAAAATTTCCAAACTCTGTTTCCCTGATCATCTACAGAGGTGTGGGTCTTGTAATAACCATTGCCACCTGGATATACACTGCTCTTAGGTGTGGTCGCACCATTGGACCCATAAATACGATCATTGCCAAACAAACGATTAAAAATAGAACCATTTCCAATAGTATTCCTTGATCCTGAGTTACCGCTCACTCTTCCTCCATATCCATTGGAAGAAGACCTGGGTGGAGGTGTGGGTGGAGTTGGTCTAATCTTTCCTGGTCTTCGTGTTGGGTTTGCTGTCAAATTGGAGAGTGGTAGTCAAAAGCTACACCAAACTCGAAATTCCAACTATCATTCTACTTTGAATAAACTACTCGAAATAATTAAGAATTGTTGAAACACCGTATAAATTACATTGGATTAAAATATTCTTACTTTTATCAAAAGTAAGATGTTTGTTGTTAGTTGATATTATTATTAATATCACAAGCTGATGTTAAGATAAAGTTATCTTAAATTTGCTTTTTATAAGCATGCATTCTGTAATTGTTAATTATTTCATATTATTATATTTTATTATAGCACTTTGAACTTCCACTCTTCAATTTGTGAATTAAATCTATTTATCTCATCGATAAAATAGCAAAAGATTATTTATTCGTATTTTAAAATGTTAATAAATCCTCTCTTCACTATTAAACTACCGAAATGATTGATTCGTCAATTGAAAGTTTATAATTAATGAAAACATTCTTGAAATATGGAAATTATTTTCAAACACTGATTGGCTTCTAGAGCTCCCATTATAAGATAAAAGCAAATTACGTTAAAGCAAAATAAGAGGAAAGGTAAGAGAATTTTAAAATTAGCCAGTAATTATAATTCTGTTTAAAAGAAATAAATCACGAAAGAGAAGAAGAAAAAGAAGAAGAAGAAGAAGAAGAAAAAGAAGAGAAATAGTAATGGAAAGAAACTGCCATAATAAAATGGAAATAACAGTTAACCAGTTAAGGAACTGTGACCTACAAAGTATAATTCTACGTAGCTCGCTCAAGTAGATAAGAGGTGTCAGGGTTCGAAACGATAACGAGATCAGTCGGTGTTTGCCACGTCTTCGAGAAATTAATTCTAAAACGTTATTCGCAGGCGGCTGTAGCTTAACGTAACGAGGGCGGAAGAGGCAGGATTATTGTACAGTAAATCTATGGATAGAAATGATATTATTTTTTTGTGTTTATTCCGAGTCAAGAGCCCCGATAAATAGCATCGATATTCGTTTCGTATTCACGATATTCGAAACGATAATCGTACATAATACAAATATACATCCATATAGCGAATAGATATATGGTACATGGGCATATAGATAACATTTTATTTTACGCTAAAGAGTAATTGTCATTATTGTATTTGGACGGCGAAAATATTTTGCGCGCAACGAAAATGTGTCATCGCGATACTTAATTGTGCACTCGCTTGAGAATGGATGATAAAACATGCACGTATTTTTTTTCTTTTTTTTCTTTTTTTCCCTGAAAGAAACCTAGTATAAAGTAGCGATCTTCGATTGAAACCACGATTCAGGTACCCAAGTTAATCGATTCATCGCAATTAGTGCGCTTGAGGAGTTTTTGATGATCCTTTGTTGCGTATAATTGAAAAGCTTTCTGGAAAAGTGATCTGAGGAATTATATTTCTCTGATCCATTATTCATGCGTTGCGTATTCTAATAAGAAGAATTAAGAAGAAAATACTATAGATTTTTGCTCCAGAAAGCTGTTCAATTTCTCAATTTTCAATTATTGTTAGAAGCGTATATTTTGTCGCGCTGTAAAAATTGTTACGTTATGATGAAACAATACGTCATCGAATATCAAGATCAACAAATGGAAGAACAAATAGCACGATTTTAATGTTGGTCAAATGCATAATCAGCATCCAACATGTTTTAAAAAATCTTACTTACTTTCTATGGAAAAGTTTTTTTTCTTTTTTTTTTTTTTTGTTATTTCCCCTCTGTTAATCATAAATGCAATTACAAAAGAATCATCATTGCGATGAAAGACACGTTGGAAGGCACGTATAATGCATTATACAAATTTTGTGATAATTATAATTTTAAGGAATTATAGATAGAATCTTCATGAAAGCAGAAAAGAAAAATACTGAGTATTAGAAAAATAAGATTTGTTTAGAGTATCTCTTACACTGGTTTTAAAATAAAAATATATATATATCTATTTCTATCAATAATAAAATAGTAATAAAATATATTAGAAAAATTTTCATATCGATCAAGATGTTTCTTCTCGTTTAAAAATCCCTCCTCTCTCTTAAACGCGTTTAATCAAACAAGACTAATAATCAACTTAATTGTAAAAGAATACATAAGAATACAGATCAGACGAATAATTTAGAAAAAAAAAAAGAAAAATTAAAAAAAATCCTCAAAAATTACTATACCATAATATACACACAATGGCAATTAACAATTTTCCCTAATTAGCATTGGCCAAAATTATTCAAATTATCTAACGTCAAATCGGGGAAGATTCTTTGATCCCCCATCATCCATTATCGTATCATCCATCCATTTCGGTGATCACGATCTATTATTAGCAAACGCGACGACTAGTAAACTCGCCAAATAAACGATTACGAGATTGCACGGGGACTGCACAATGGCGGAATTCCTTCGATAACCGGAATAAACGTTGTTGTGGTACATGCGATTCTGATTTGGATAATTCGGATACGGATAATTCTGGTGGCCGGGTGGCAACTGTTGGGGATATCCCTGATAACCGCCGGGCTGTTGCCCAGGGTAGACGGGATAATTGGAGTGGCCAGGTTGGCCAGGATACGAGGGATAATTCGACTGTCCAGGCATCGGCATTTTGTTGTGCGTTGGATACGGCGGATATCCTAAATCCTGTTGGCGATTCCCTTGATTGGGGGAAGGATAAGGCGGATACCCGTTGTTGGAACCGGCGTTGCCACCGGGATACGATGGATATCCATTCTTGGAACCCGTGTCGGAGCTAGGATAAGGTGGATAACCCAGATTGGTGGCGGAATTCACTTGATGGCGATACCCTCCCGCTGGTTCAGCAGGTGGCGCGTTAGCATTGGCGTAAGGGTTCGAATTGCTAGCGCTGTTGCTGGCCGTTGTCTTATCGAGCTGCTTCTCGTCGCTGTTCACTCGCTGCCCGTTTACGTACGAAACGCCCGCCGACTCGAATCCTGAAAAGATTCGTCCTCTTCTACGTCGTATTTTATCTGTGACAGTGTTTCCCAACTGGGAAGGGCGGGTGTACGCCACGTAGGGAAAGGAGTGGAGGGGGAAAAATGTAATGGAAATCATGTTGCCATTCGTCGCCTCGTGAGCGGCACAGTTGCAGGAATGCGAAAGCAGTATTCCTTGATTCTTTCTTACGAATCATTTCTCACAATTTTCTCGTTTTGCATTTTGATTAAACAAAGGATCCAAGGATGCATTTTAAATTAATTTCTCCAGTATATATATATATATATATATTAATAAATTGTGAGTTATATTCTTTCAGAAATAAGAATATTTTTTTTTCGCGTAATTTATGTGAAAGTTAAACTTCATCGACGTTAGATTAAAATTTGAACCGCTCTATAACTTCGAAGATAGAGATTCTCTGTCGATGGATGAGAGAGAAAAAACGCTCTTTCCTTTATTCTGATACGATTTCCGGCTTTCGAAATATCAGCGAATGAAAAAGTAATTATTTAAATATGTAATTAGATTTAAATCTTGTTACAATTAGGAAAAATTTGAATCACTATAATAACTCCAAAAATGATTGATTTTTAATCAATAAATGAATGATAGAAATTTGAAACCTCGTTCTTTAAAAATTCTACAAAGTTTGTAATACTTAACTTTCAAAATTGCACCACTTAAAATCTAATAAAGATTGAACTCAGAAACGTTTTGCCTTTTTTTTTTTTCTTATTTAATTGAGTATAATGGTAATCTAATCGTTTGCTATTCACTGAAGAGAGTATCAAAGTATCTTCGAGGCGTTGAGATGGAACATGATTCAAAAAAGGTTGGGAAACACTGATCTATAGAGATGTAATCCCTCGAGTACGTCGAGGAATTTTAAACGAAAAGAGGGGTTTAGAAAAAAGAAAGATATAAACGAACATGATTAACGAGAAACATGAGAGCAGTTTTATTTAACAAAAAAAAAAAAAAACAACTCTCAGGTTATAACTAACTATATACATTCCACTACAAAA